GGCTGAGCCGGGCGCCTTCGGCCGCTTGCGCTTGGCCTCCGCGGTGGCGTCCTCGCGCTTGGGCTGGGTCTCCGGCGGGAGGAGAAGGCGGCCGACACGCTCTTCCTGGGAACCTGGGGTCGTCTGCCCGCCTCGCTTCAGCCTTCCTGATTTCAACTTTCACTGAGCGCCTAGTCGGTGGCGCAGGGCTGGGACTTCCGCGGTGACCACGCCAGACTTGACGTTTGCGTCACCAGACGGGAACATCACAGTAGAGGCGGCAGAAGCGTAGAGCGGAGTAATTAGGGGTGTGATGGGGCAACTACAGGCAGAGTGATCAGGGGCTGATATGGTGAAAGACCAGGACAGGCTGGGAGACACGACAGGTTTCTTATCCAGCCTGAGGGAGGGCCAGGGAGGGCTTCCGGAGGAGGTGATGGGCCCATGGAAGAACAAGACAGCCCCGGGCCCTGCCTCCAGGACTCCCAGTCCAGACCTGTTGCCGTCCAGCGGATTCCGACTCACAGCGACCCTATAGGACAGAGCAGAACAGCCGTATAGGGTTTCCAAGGCTGTAATCTTTACGGAAGCAGACTGCCACATGTTTCTCCCACAGAGCGGTTGGTGGGTTTGAGCCGCCGAACTAGCCAAGTGCTTAACTACTGCGCCACCAGAGCTCCTTCCCAGTCCAGAGATGAAGACAAATACTTCATTAAACAGTGATAGTCCAGGAGTCACCAGATGTATGACAGGAAGGAGAGCTAGAGTGATCATGCCTGAGAGAGGGGGAGAAGCCTAGGGCTCTGTTGGAGCCCAGAGGAGGCACCTGACCCAGCTTGGAGGTCAGGGAGGGCTTCCTGGAGAAGGAGGTATATAAGCTGAATCTGGCAAGGGAAATGTGTAGGGCGGGCATAGGAGTAGAGGACAGCCTGCAGGATAAATGCATTATTATTGCAAACACTACTGTTCTGTGCCGTGGAGTCAGTTCCGACTCATAGCGACCCTACGCACCACAGAACAAAACACTGTCGGTCCTGTGCCACGCTCACGATCGTCGCTATTTTTGAGCCCATTGTTGCAGCCACTGGGTCAATCCATCTCATTGAGGGTCTTCCTTTTTTTCACTGACCCTCGACTTTACCAAGTATGATGTCCTTCTCCAGGGACTGGTCCCTCCTGATAACATGTCCAAAGTACCTGAGATGTAGTCTCACCATCCTTCCTTCTAAGGAGCATTCTGGTTGTACTTCTTCCAAGACACACACAGTACTATGAGGGAAATAATTTGGATGCTCGGATAGAAAATAACAGACCATTTGACCTGGGTGATGGGAGGTGATGGGAGAAGGGCTCCTTGAGGAGCTGGCTTTGATACTGAACCCTGGAGGATGAAAACAGCCGAGGGACAAATGTTCCAAGCATCAGGAACATCAAATGCAAAGGCCTGAGGCAGGAAAGACATGGGTATCTCTCAGAATCCAGGGCCACTCCCAAATTTTGAGCCTCCTTCCTGACATAATGATATGTGAAGAGCCTTAACTGGCTTACCAAAATGATGTTCACCTTAAACAGCTAAAGATTTACGCCAGCCATCTTCTTTAATCTTGCAGCATGGTCCTGGGAATCAGGGCCAAGAGTCTGAATGTGAGGCCAACGGTCTCCCAGCACCCTCACAACTCAAGCCCTGGCTGAGCATGAAGACAGACAGGGGTGGGGTGAGAGGCGAGGCTAGAGAGGAAGCACAGGTCTATTCTTTCATTCATTCATCCACATATCCGTGCATTTATTCCACACATTCACTGAGCACTGGCTGTGTGCCAGGTACTGTTCTAGATGCCAGAGAGGACACCACAGCGAACAAAGCAAAGGTTCCGCCCTGTTGGAGCTCACTTTATAATGCTGGGAACAGTGCTGGAAGTAGCATATTTGACACCTGGGTAGGTTATTACGTTTTTTAAAAAAATAATTTATTTCATTTGTTGTTGTTGTCATTGAGAATATACACAGCAGAACATACTCCAATTCAACAATTTCTACATGTACAATTCAGTGACATTGATTACATCCTTCAAGTGGTACAACCATTCCCACCCTCCATTTCTGAATTGTTCCTCCGCTATTTTCCTATTCCTCCCCCTAAATTTCCTATCTAACCTTTTGAGTTGCCGTTGTCAGTTTGGTCCCATGTAGATAATTTTTTTTTTTTCCCCTTGGTTTTTAATCTTTATTTTCTTTTTTATTTTGCTTTAGGTGAAACTTTACAGAACAAATTAGTTTCTCATTAAACAATTAATACACATATTGTTTTGCAACATTGGGTACTGTCAAATATACTTGGCTAGGCCATGATTCCCAGTATTGTGTGATTGTCTACCATTTTGTCATCTGATGTGATTTTCCTACGAGTTGTAAATCCTGTCTCTATGATGTTGATGAGGTGGGATTAGCAGCAGTTATATTAATGAAGCAGGACTCAATCTACAAGATTGGATTGTGTCTTAAGCCAATCTCTTTTGAAAGAAGCGAGCAGAGAGACATGAGGACCTCATACCACCAAGAAAGAAGACCCAGGAGCATAGCATGTCTTTTGGATCCAGAGTTCCTGCACTGAGAAGCTCCTTGAACAGGGGAAGATTGATGACAAGGACCTTCTCCCAGAGGTGACGAGAGAGAAAGCCTTCCCCTGGAGCTGGCACCCTGAATTAGGACTTCTAGCCTCCTAGACTGTGAGAGAAATTCAGTCTCTTTGTTAAAGGCATCCACTTGTAGTATTCTGTTATAGTGGCACTGATAACTAAGACAGTTACCAACCCCCAAAAATGTAGAACACTTCGCGAATTTGCATGTCATCCTTTCGCAGGGGCCATGCTAATCTTCTCTGTATGGTTCTAATTTTAGTATGTGTGCTGCCAAAGTGAGCGCTGGATAATTCTTAAAAGAGCACAATACTCAAAGCTGGCATTCTTTACTAATTAAGCATCAGAGGTCTTTTCAAGTGTTCGATGCTCATTTGAATATCCTCTTTGGTGAATTATCTATTCAAGTCCTTTGCCTATTTTATGATTGGATTATTTGTCGTTTTTGTTCTTAAGTTGTTGAAGTTTTATGCATATTTCGGATATTAGATTCTTATCAGATACATGGTTTCTAAAGATATTCTCCCAGTTGGTATCTTGTCTTTTCACTTTTTTGAAAAACAAAAACAAAAGTTTTTAATTTTTCTGAGGTCCCATTTATTTATTTTGTCTTTTGCTGTTTGTGCTTTTGTTATTACATTAGACAATCCATGATTAAAAGCGAGGCCTGACAGCCTTGCCCCTGCTTTTTCTTCTAAGAATTTTATGGTTTTAGTTTGCACATTTCAGTCCTTAATCCATTTGAATTTGTTTTTGTGTATGGTGTGAGGCATGGATCCTGTTTCATTTCTCTGCATGTGGAAATCCAATTTTCCCAGAACCATTTATTGAAGAGACTCTTCTTTCCCCATCGAATGGACTTAGCATCCTGTCAAAGATCAGTTGACCACAGACGTGTAAGTTTATTTCTGGACTCTCAATTCTATCCCATTGGTCTATGTGTCTGTTGTTAGACCAGTACCAGGCTGTTTTGATTACTGTAGCTGTATAATATATTTTTAAATCAGAAAGTATGAGTCCTACCATTCTGTTCTTCTCCTTCAACATTCTTTTAGCTGTTCAGGGCCTCTTGCCATTCTATATAAAATTGAGGGCTGGTTTTTCCATTTCTGTAAAGAAAACTGTTGGAATTTTGATCGGGACTACGTTGAATCTATAGATCGCTTTGGGTAGTATTGACATCTTAACAATATTAGGTCTTCCAATCCATGAACACAGAACATCTTTCCATTTATTTAAGTTTTCTTTAATCTCTTTTAGCAGTGTTTTATAATTTTTATTGTATAAGTCGTTCACATCTCTGGTTAAATTTATTCCTAGATGTTTTAGTCTCTTAGATGCTATTGTAAATAGAATCATTTCCCTAATTTCCCTTTCAGATTTCTCATTGCTGTTGTACAGAAACCCAACTGAATTTTTGTTGACCTTGTACACTGAAACTTTGCTAAATTTCTCTGTTAGCTCTAGAAGCTTTCCTGTGGATTCTTTGGGATTTTCTATATATAGGATCATGCCATCTGTGAATAGAGATAATTTTACTTCTTCTTTTCCAATCTGGATACCTTTTATTTATTTTTCTTGTCTTATTGCTCTGGCTAGGACTTCTAATACAATATTAAATAGGAGTAGTGAGAGCAGGCATCCTTGTTTCCAATTTCAAGGGGAAAGCTCTCAAATCTTTTCCCATTAAGTATAATATTGGCTGTTGGTTTTTCATATATGCCCTTAATTTATTGAGGAATTTCCCTCCTATTCCAATCTTCTTGAGTGTTTTCATCAGTCAGGAAAGGGTGTTGGATTTTATCAAATACTTTTTCTGCATTGGAATGGATTATTTTTTATACTCCCTCCTCTTTATCACAGAACTATTTTCAGTTAATAATCATGTAAAAAACCAAAACCAAATCCGTTGCCGTTGAGTTGATTCTGACTCATGCTGACCCCGTGTATTACAGAGTAGAACTGCCCCATAGGGTTTTCTTGGCTGTAATTTTTACAGAAGCAGATCACCAGGGTTGCTGGGTGGGTTGGAATCACCAACCTTTAGGTTAGTAGGTCAGTGCAGACTGTTTGCACACCCAAAGACCTAATGTCTTAGTCTTTTAGTGCTGCTCTGACAGAAATACAAGTGGATGGCTTTAACAAAGAGAAATTTATCTGTTAAATTTATTTTCTCACAGTCTAGTATGCTACAAGTCCAAACTCAGGGCGTCAGCTCCAGGGGATGGTTTTCTCTCTCTCTTGACTCTGGAGGAAGGTTCTCATTATCATCAATCTTCCCCTGGACTAGGAGCTTCTCTGAACAGGAACCTCTGGTGCAAAGGACACTCTCTGCTCCCAGCACTGCTTTCTTGGTGGTATGAGGTCCCCAACTCTCTGCTTGCTTCCCTTTCCTTTTATCTCTTGATAGATAAAAGGTGGTGCAGGCCACACCCCAGGGAAACTCCCTTTAAGTTGGATCAGGGATGTGACCTGGGTAAGGGTGGTGTTACAACCCCACCCTAATCCTCTTTAACATAAAATTACAATCACAAAATGGAGGACAACCACACAATACCGGAAATCATGGCCTAGATAAATTGACACACACATTTTTGGGGGGACATAATTCAATCCATGACACCTAATAATCCTGTAGCAATTATGATTTAGTTGTTCTTTAGTTTTAAAACAATTAACCATGGAAAATGAATACATTTCAATTTTAAAGGTATTCAAATTCAGGAAAGTATTTCATGTATGAATGAAAATCCACACTTACCAAACAAAGATATTGCACCTCTCGGAGCACACTCTTTCCCTGTTTAAATTCCAAGCCCAGAAACTCCAGAGGCGTACACAGGATGTCAGAATAGTTTATCTTTACAGTCACTGTGCTCTCATTTTAATTTCTAATATACTACTTCAGTGCAAGAAGAGGTAGAATCACAGGGATCAGAGACTGAAACAGCATCTGATACAAGCCCAAATGATTCCAAACTGTTATGAATGAACACACAGAGCTGAGTCTTCAAGTGTCTTAGTCATCTACAGCTGCTATAACAGAAGTACCACAAGACGATGGCTTTAACAAAGAGAAGTTTTCTCACAGTCTGGTAGGCTAGAATTCCAGATTCAGGGCATCAGCTCCAGAGGAAGGCATCTCTCTCTGTCGGCTCTGGAGGAAGGTCCTTGTCATCAATCTTCCCCTGCTCTAGGAGCATCTCTGTGCAGGAATCTCAGGTCCAAAGGACGCGCTCTGCTCTGGGCGCTGCTTTCTTGGTGGTATGAAGTCCCCAACTCTCTGCTTGCTTCCCTTTCATCTCTTGTAAGATAAAAGGTGGTGCAGGCCACACCCTAGGGAAACTCCCTTTACATTGGATCAAGTATGTGACCTTAGTAAGGATGTAACAATCCCACCCTAATCCTCTTTAACATAAAAGTATGATCACAAAATGGAGGAAAATCACACAATACCAGGAATCATGGCCCAGCCAAATTGATACACACATTTTTGGGGGGACATAATTCACCGCATGACATCATGTATCAGAGGTAAATGTGTACCTGGGAGTTCTCCATATTAACTTCCATTGTGGCAAACAGATCCTAGCGTGGCCTCCATGTTCATGCCCTGTATAATCCCCTCCCCTTGAGCAAAAGCAGACCCGGGACTTGCTTCTAACCAGTAGAATATGGCAAAGGAAATGGGTGTCACTCCCATGGTCCTATCACATTATATAAGACTCCGTGTTAACTGACTGGAAAGAGAAATTCTCAGTTGCTGACTTGAAGAAGTAAGCTGCCATGTAGTATGAAGGCCTATGAAGAGGGCCACATGGCATGGAACTGTGGGCGGCCCCAGCCTACAGCCAGCAGGACGACGGAGACCTCGTTCCTACAACCATGAAGAGTTGAATTCTGCTAACAATCTGAGAGAGCTTGAAAGCCGATCTTTCTCCATCTGAACCCTTGGTGAGACTGCAGCCCTGGCCCACATCTGGACTGCAGCCTGGTCAGACTCTGTCGCAGAGCACCCAGTTAAACCATGTCTGGATTCCTAGTGCATGGAAACTGTGAGATAATAAATACGTCTTGTTTTAAGCCACTAAGTTTGTGGTAATTGGTTACACAGCAATAGAAAACTAATACAAATATTTATTGAAGGATAGAGTTTATTTCTGTTTATTAAAGGATAAAACCAAATCCATTGCTGTCAACTCCATTCCGACTCATAGCAACCTTATAGGACAGAGTAGAACTGCCCCATAGGGTTTCCAAGGAGCAGCTGGTGGATTCGAACTGCCGACCTTTTTGTTGGCAGCCAAACACTTCACCATTGCGCCAGCAGGGCTCCTTTATTAAAGAATAGAGTAACAAAAATACCTCATTTGAAGCTTATATATATTACTAAAACTCAACAGTAACTGCATTAGTTGTTTAGAATGTAGACCAACAAAATAATTTTTCCAAGGGGCAAGAGGATTATTTTATCACTGACACTTTATAATTGTCAGAGCATGATATAATAAAAAGCAGATCAACTTTTGGTTGGCTTCATTGTTATTTTTCAATTCTTTACGGACAATGCTTACCACTCATCTGTCAATCTGTCATATTGTGGGGGCTTGCGTGTTGCTGTGATACTGGAAGCAATGCTACCGGTATTTCAAATACTAGCGGAGTCACCCATGGTGGACAGGTTTCAGTGGAGCTTCCAGACTAAGACAGATTAGGAAGAAGGACCTGGTGATCTACTTCTGAAAAAATTGGCCAGTGAAAACCTTATGAATAGCAGCAGAACATTGTCTGACATAGTGCTGGAAGACGAGCCCCTCAGGTTGGAAGGCACTCAAAATACGACTGGGGAAGAGCCGCCTCCTCAAAGTAGAGTCGATCTTAATGACATAGATGGAGTCAAGCTTTTGGGACCTTCATTTGCTGATGCGGCTCAACTCAAATGAGAAGAAACAGCTGCAAACCCCCATTAGTAATCAGAAGGTGGAATGTACAAAGTATGAATCTAGTAAAATTGGAAGTCGTCAAAATGAAATGGAAAGCATAAACATCGATATCCTAGGCATTAGTGAGCTGAAATGGACTGGCACTGACCATTTGAATTGGAAAATCATATGGTCTATTATGACAGGAATGACAAATTGAAGAGGAATGGCATCATATTCATCGTCAAAAAGAACATTTCAAGATCTATCCTGAAGTACAATGCTGTCAGTGATAGGAAAATATCCATACACCTACAAGGAAGACCTGTTAATATGACTATTATTCAAATTTACACACCAACCACTAAGGACAAAGATGAAAAAATTGAAGATTTTTTACTGACTTCTGCGGTCTGAAATTGATCAAACATGCAATCAAGATGCATTTATAATTACTGGTGATTGGAATGCAAAAGTTGGAAACAAAGAAGAAGGAATAGTAGTTGGAAAATATGGCCTTGTTAATAGAAATGACGCCAGAGATTGCATGATAGAATTTTACAAGACCAATGACCTCTTCATTGGAAATACTTTTTTCAACAACATAAATGGTGACTTTGCATGTGGACCTCACCAATGGAATACACAGGAATCATATAGACTACACCTGTGGAAAGAGACGATCGAGAAGCTCAGTATCATCAGTGGGAAAAAGGCCAGGGACCAACTGTGGAACAGACCAGCAATTGCTCATATGCAAGTTCAAGTTGAAGCTGAAGGAAATTAGAATAAGTCCATGAAAGCCAAAGTACAATCTTGAGTATATCCTACTTGAGTTTAGAGACCACCTCAAGAATAGATTTGACGCATTGAACGTTAATGACTGGAGACCAGACGAGTTGTGGAATGACATCAAGGAAATCATACATGAAGAAAGCAAAAGGTCATTGAAAAGGCAGAAAGGAAATAAAAGACCAAAATGGATGTCAGAAGAGACTCTGAAACCTGCTCTTGAACACAGAGTAGCTAAAGTGAATGGAAGAAATAATGAAGTAAAGGAGTTGAATGAAAGATTTCAAAGGGCAGCTGGAGAAGAAAAAGTAAAGTATTATAATGACATGTGCAAAGACCTGGAGTTAGAAAACCAAAAAGGAAGAACAAGCTCAGCATTTCTCAAGGTGAAAGAACTGAAGAAAAAAATCAGGCCTCGAGTTGCAATATTGAAGGATTCTACATGCAAAATATGGGATGTTGCAGGAAGCATCGAAAGAAGAGTCACTGTACCAAAAAGAACTGGTTGATGTTCAGCCATTTTAGGAGGTAGCACATGATCAGGAATTTACGATATTAAAGGAAGAAGTCCAAGCTGAACTGAAGGCACTGGTGAAAAACAAGCCTTCAGGAATTGACAAAATACTAACTGAGATGTTTCAACAAACAGATGCAATGCTAGAAGTACTCACTCATCTACATCAAGAAATTTGGAAGACAACTACCAGCCAACCGACTGTAAGAGATCCATATTTGTGCCCATTCGAAAGAAAGGTGATCCAACAGAATGTGGAAATTATCGAACAATATCATTAATATCACATGCCAGTAAAATTTTGTTGAAAATAATTGTAAAATGGTCGCAGCAGTATATCGACAGGGAACTGCCAGAAAGTCAAGCCGGATTCAGAAGAGGATGTGGAACGAGGGATATCATTGCTGATGCCAGATGAACCTTAACGGAGAGCAGAGAATACCAGAAAGATGTTTACCTGTGTTTTATTGACTATACAAAGACATTTAACTGTGTGGATCATAAAAATTATGGATAACATTGTAAAGAATGAGAATTCCAGAACACTTAATTGTGCTCATGTGGAACCTGTACATAGACCAAGAGATAGTTGTCCGAACAGAACAAGGGGATACTGTGTGGTTTAAAATCAGAAAAGATATGCATCGGGATTGTATCCTTTTGCCATACTGGCACTCTCTTAGCTGATCCTTCCAGGCCTCAGCCCAGTACTCCGGTATTTGTCAGTCAACTCAGAGTTGGTGAAACCTACTTAACATCTGTCTTAGTTATCTAGCACTGCTCTAACAGAAATACTACAAGTGGATGGCTTTAACAAACAGAAGTTTATTCTCTCACAGTTTGGGAGGCTAGAAGTCTGAATTCAGGGTGCCAGCTCCAGGGGAAGGCTTTCTCTCTGTCAGTTCAGGGGGAAGGTTGTTGTCATCAATCTTCCCTCGATCTAGGATCTTCTCAGCAAAGGGACCCCAGGTCCAAAGGATGCACTCCACTCGTGGCTCTGCTTTCTTGGTGGTAGGAGGTCTCTCTGTCTCTCTGCTAGCTTCTCTCTTTTATATCTCAAGAGATTGACTCAAGATACAACCTAATCTTGGAGACTGAGTCCTGCTTCATTAACATAACTGCTGCTAATCCCACCTCATTAACATCATAGGGGTAGGATTTACAACACATAGGAAAATCCCATCAGATGACAAAATGGTGGACAACCACACAATACTGGGAATCGTGGTCGAGCCAAGTTGACACACATTTTTGTGGGACACAATGCAATCCATAACAAGGACTATAGTTTGCATGACCCACGCCATGGTATTTTCAATCCTTTATATGCATGGGAGAGCTGGACAATGAATAAAGAAAACCAAAGAAAATTGATGCCTTTGAATTATGGTGTTGGCGAAGAATATTGAATATACCATGGATTGCCAAAAGAATGAACAGATCTGGTCTTGGAAGAAGTACAGCCAGAATGCTCCTTAGAAGCAAGGATGGCGAGATTTCTTCTCACATGCTTTGAAACATGTTGTCAGGAAGGATCAGTCCCTGGAGAAGGACATCATGCTTGGTAGAAGAGAAGGTCATCGAAAAAGAGGAAGACCCTCAATGAGATGGATTGACACAGTGGCTGCCAACAGTGAGCTCAAACATAACAGCGATTGTGAGGATGGCGCCGGACAGGGCAGTGTTTGGTTCTGCTGTACACAGGGTCGCTATGAGTCGGAACCGACTCCACCACAGGTGACAACGACACCAACAGTGGTAACTCCATGTTTAACATTTTGAGGAAGTGCTAGACTGCTTTCCAAAGTGGCCGTACCATTTTACATTCCCACCAGCAATGAGTGAGGGTTCCAAATTTTCCATATCCTCATCTACACTTGTTATTTTCTGTTTGTATTCTTTGTTTTTTAATTACAACCATCTTATACCCACCCATGGTCATCGAGTCGATTCCAACTCATAGCAACCCTATAGGGCAGAGTAGAACTACCCTATAGGGTTTCTAAGGCTGTAAATCTTTATGGAAGCAGACTGCCACATCTTTCTCTTGCAGAGTGGCTGGTGGGTTCAACCTGCCAACCTTCTGGTTAACAGCTGAGTCCCTAAACACTGAGCTAGCAGGGCTCCTTATTGATGTCTTTTGAAACATATAGTTTTTTTAATTTTGATGAAAGCCCAATTTATCTAATTTTTTAGATTTTGTTATTTGTGCTTTTGTTGTAATATCTAAGAACCCCCCTCCAAAAAAAAAAAAACCAAACCCGTTGTAATCGAGTTGATTCCGACTCATAGCGTCCCTATAAGACAGACTAGAACTGCCCTATAGGGTTTCCAAAGAGCGGCTGGTGGATTTGAGCTGCCGACCTTTTAGTTAGCAGCTAAGCTCTTAACTACTGCGCCTCCAGGGCTCCAATATCTAAGAAACTATTGCCTCATTATGGACAGTTTTAAGCAGGGAAGGGACATAGCCAAATTTAAGCTTTAAAGTATCATCTTTGCTGCTCATAATTATCAGTGGCAAGCCTGTTATGGGGTGTGGAGCTTCCCTGGCCATCCTAGCCAAAATTTTTACACCAGCCTCGCTCCACCTTCCCCTGTCCTGCTGTATATTTCTCCACAGCACTTACCATATTCTAATAAGCTGTATAGTGCACTGTGCTGCTTCATTACGTTTCCTGTCTGTCTCCGCCACAAGAATATCAACTCCACGGGTACTAAGCCTGCTCTGTTCACTGCCGATCCCTAGCGGCTAGAACAGTGCCTGGTATACAGCAGGCACTCGCTAAATATTTGTTGCATAGAATGGGTGAATAAATGAATGAGTGAATACATAAATGGATGGGTGAGTGAATGAACGAAAGAACGAACAAACGAGGTTCAGAGTCCTAGGGCCTGAACTTGCCTTGCTCCGAAGGCAGCGGCGGGCTGCTACACCGACCCCGGCGGCCGCCAGAGGGCGTGGGCAAGCTGGTCCTCAAGAGCCTGTCCCGCGACCCCGCCCCCCGGGGATGCAGACCCCCGGAGCCCCAGACGCAGGGACCGGGCCTGGGGTTCTCGGACCCCGCCTCTACCTGAAGACGTGCACCACTGCGGGCTCTTAGGAGCGCAGCGACCCGTCCCGCGGGGCAGGCGGGGAAACTGAGGCCCAGGGCGCGGTCGGGGCGGGGCCGGCCCCGCGGCGAGCGCGAGTCCCCGCCCCCGGCCGGCCCCGCCCCGGCCCGTAAGAGGCCCCTCGGGCGCGAGCCGAAGGCCAGAGCCGGGATGGCAGCTCAGCGGCTGGGCAAGCGGCTGCTAAGCAAGCTCCAGGCTCCATCGCGGGCTCGCGGGCCGGGGGGCAGCCCCGGGGGGCTGCAGAAACGGCACGCTCGGGTCACCGTCAAGTACGACCGGCGGGAGCTGCAGCGGCGGCTGGACGTGGAGAAGTGGATCGACGGGCGCTTGGAGGAGCTGTACCTCGGCAGGGTGAGGCGGGGCCGGGGTGCCGAGGGGGGACGCGGGGGGTGGTCCCGAACCGACCGACCCGTGGCCCGGAGACCCTGCGCTCTTGGAGGTCCTTGGGCGCACGCTTACTGATGCACGTGCAGCCTCGTCCGCACAAGGGGACACACTCATTGGCCTGGCCGTGTACACTCGGTGGCACTCTGGTTGTGGACACACGCTTGGGTCCCCAGAGATGTGTCCTAACACCTGAAGGGCCAGGGGAGTAGCCTATGGGGTTGAGGCGGCAAGACTGAGGAGCCAGAGCGGCCATATCTAGAGAGAGGGTGGGGGAGGGGGCATGTCTTAAAGCCAGGCATAGACGTGGTGACAGCGGAGATACAAGCACACAGAGATGCGCAGCGAAGGGAGCAGCGGTGTACACAGACGTGCCCAAGGACAGCGTCTATAGCCAGCTCACGGGCACATGGAGAGCAGCCGCCGCTGTACACAGACTGTGTACACATGCTGTGGTGGCTCACAGATCAACACATGCCGCAGCCACCCACAGACACAGGAGCACCAGGCGCAGCTGTACGCAGACACACAACCCAACAACTACACTCAAACCCAACATGACTCAAGTTACAACCATCCGTAACCTTCCAAAGGCTCAGACTCTAACCACACACAAACACAGGGAGAAATGCTGCGGCCACTCCAGAGAACAACAAAGCCACATAAGCTACAGGCACACATGGTGGCTGTTCGGTGCCGTTAAGTCGGCTCCCACGCCTAGCCAGCCCATGTACAACAGAACCAAACGCTGCCCAGTCCCACACCAGCTTCACAATTGTTGTTTGAGCCCATTGTTGCAGCCACTGTGTCAATCCATCGCGTGGAGGGTCTTCCTCTTTTCTCGCTGACCCTCTACACATACAAATATACAAAGGCAGGGCCTACAGCTGCCCATGGACCTGCAACAGCATACGCTCCAGCTACGTGTATGGACACGTAGGTTGCAGACAGACACGGGTACTCCATCGGCCACTTGAAGCTGCAGTTCGTGCAGCACACGCGCACTGCTGAACACAATTATAGACACATGATGGTCATTACAGTGTACACACACCCAGGACACACACAGTCCTCCTTCGCTCAGCACAGCCGTGGTAGAAGCCATACCTCTCGCGGTGACACGCGGTCCCTCTGTTCTCAGAAACACATGTTGGCTTCTCGAGAGGACAGACAAATCCAGTTGCTACTGGTCAGTGGCAGCTGTAGGATGTCCCAGTCAGATAATGATGAGACAGAGCCACACACCTCACATGACAGGAGCACAGGCCCCCACACAAAGTCACCCACCTGATTGCCACATGCTTCTGCACCCTCACGCCAACCTGGACCCCTGGCATCAGGCTCTGGCTCACACACAGACGCACACGGTTGTGTAACACACGTATCAACACTACACCTGTGCTAAAGCTTCGGCACCAAACCCCAGACCACTCAGCAGCTCGGAGCAGCCAAGTCCTCAGGACTTTGGGGGAGGGAGTGTTAAGACTTTATAGCCTCAGGGATCTTTTGCTCAGACAGCTGCGTCCTGTCTCCTGCAGTGGTACTGAGCCAGCCTGCATGTGGATCACTGCCCCAAGAGGCCATGCTGGGAGTCCCCCTCTTGACCACCTCAGAGCTGGGCTTGTAACTCATCCCACCCACCACCCTGGGGGCCTCAGTGGTCATTGCTGCCAGCTCTCGAGGTTGCACTCTGGACCCAGGGGCTGGCCGGCCGGGGACTTGCCCTCCTTCCCTGATCCCTGGGGGATGGGGCCACCCCCGCAGGCTCCAGCCTGCCCGCTCCCCTTCCCTGCACCTAGTGGTGAGACTTTTCCTTGAAAGGGCAGAGCCAGCCCCTCTCCTGAATCCCAGAATGCGGCATTCCAAGACTTGACCAGGCCTGTTTCCCGCTAGAGGCACTGGGGCCAAGAGGAGAGATCTGTGCCAGCCGCCAGGCTCCCAGGGCCCAGAGGCCCAGGCTTCCGGGCTGGCACAGGCCCCAGGGCCTCCATCGACCCATCTGTCACCCCTCCCCCCAACACCCAGATGTCCTGCCATGGCAGTGCTGTCCCTGACTGCCACATTATTGCTCCAGAATGGGCAGCTGGGCCCTGGAGCCCGCGGGTTCCTCCAAAGCCCTGGGCAAAGGGGGAGAAGGGACAAGGGACCCTGACCACCGCCCTCCCCCCCCCGCCTTAGGAAGCAGACATGCCTGACGAGGTCAACATTGATGAATTGTTGGAATTAGAGACGGAAGAGGAGAGAAGCCGGAAAATCCAGGTAGGTGGATTGGGGGGTGCCCCCAATCCTTCACCTTGTGCCCCTAAAAATAATAGCAATAATTAACCAGGGTATTAAGCACGTCCTGTGTGTCTAGCAGTTTCAATTCCGTTATGCTTATTAACTCATTTAACCCTCACAGAAGCCTGTGAAGCAGGGTTATTATTATCTCCACTTTCCAGAAAAGGAAGATGAGGCTCAGATAAGGAAAATCACGTGCCCAGGGTCACGCAGCTCAGAAGGCGCAGAGCTGGGCATCAGGCCCAGGCAGTCTGGGCCCAGCATCCCTGTCCTTATAGCCGGTCCACTTCTAGAGGCAGGAAATGCTTCCCGACCTTCTCACCCTGCTCTGGATCTAGAGCTGCTCCAGTGTCAGGCTTCTTGTCTTTACCCTGCCCCGAACCCATAAACCAAACCCGTTACCACTGAGTTGATTCCAACTCATAGCGACCCTATAGGACAGAGTAGAACTGCCCCGTAGGGTTTCCAAGGCTCTAATCTTTTTTAATGGTGCAGTGGTTAAGAGCTTAGCTGCTAACCAAAAGGTCGGCAGTTCGAATCCACCAGCCGCTCCAGGGAAACCCTATGGGGCAGTTCTACTCTGTCCTATAGGGTCGCCATGAGTAGGAATCAGCTTGACGGCAGTGGGTTTTTTTTTTTTTTTAATCTTTATGGAAGCCAACTACCACATCTCCCCCCCACCACCGCCCCAGGAGCAGGGGGTAGGTTCGAACTGCCAACCTTGGGGTTAGCAGCTGAGTGCTTTAACCACTGCGCCATCAGGGCTCCTTACCCTGGCCCCGTTGCTCTATAAGGCTCCAGGCCGTGTTCCCTCCTTGAAGCCAGGTGGGAAGTCCACCCTGGAGTCTGACTCCTATTTGTCTTGCTGCATGTGGGCTTTGCTGGGAAGAAGGGGTGGGAGGGGAGTGGTGCTAGTCATTCACTGCTTTTTTTTCTTGTGGGGGGGTTGTTTAGGGACTCCTGAAGTCCTGCAGGAACCCCACAGAGGTAAGTTTTCCCTCCTCTGCACCCCGAATGGGAGGGGGAGTCTGTGGAGAGGAGGGAAGAAGCTGGCCATGCCTGGGGGACAGGCAGAGGAAACCCTGGGGAGCCCCCTGTCTCTCTCACAGCTCTTTTCTTGTCTCCAGGGGGATCCTTTGTCCTTCTCAGCCCTTGTCTCTCCTCTCTCCCCATCTGCCACTGGGACTCCGTATCTCCTCCCCGCTGGGACGCTGAGGCGCTCCCCCATCTGTCCCCTAGCCTGCCGGGCTCTGTCCTCCGCCCCCCGTTGCTGCCTCTGCCACCCCAGAGAGTGGGTGCCATCCCCACCTCTTGGTGGGCCCCTCGTCCTCCAGGCCCCAGAGCTGAGCAGCCCAACCCCTCCCACTTCCTTCCCTGCTTTAAAAGGGAAAAATATTCATGTTTCTCTGACCAGCTCTAGGCCGCTGAGGGACAATCGTCACCTTATGTCTGTCTGCCCCCGGGCTGTCTTGGGCCTCTGTCCCTGGGGACCGTCTTGGTGATCTCTTGGCCAGAGAAACATCTCCATGTCTCTCTCTGCGTCCCTTCTCTGTCCCTTGTGTCTCTCCCTCTCTGTCTGCATCTCTCTGTTCTTGTATGTCTCTGTGTCAGCCTGGGTGTCTGTCTCTCCCGTCTCTCTCCCCCGTCTCCCTCCCTGTCTCTGTCTCTCCCTGTGTCTCTCTCTTTCCCCCCTCTCCCCTCACTTCCGTCTCCCCAAGTCTGTAGCTCTGTCCTTGCCTAGGCCCCGACCCCTCAGCTGTCCAGGAAGCAGGGGAAGGAGGGGCCCAGGCCGGAGGGGCTGGGCTGGGCTGGGCTGGGCTGGGCTGGGAAGGGAAAGGGGGTGCCCGCCCACCTCAACACCCCGCCCCCCGTCCTCAGGACTTCGTCCGGGAGCTGCTGGGGAAGCTGCGTGGCCTCCACAAGCAGCCTGGCCTCCGCCGGCCCAGCCCCTCGGACGACTCGGACGGCGGCAGCCTGAGCCCCCGCCAGGACCGGGCCCGGACCGCGCCCCCCTGACCCGCGCGCTCCACGCAGGCTCGTTTATCGCTTGTACTTCACGGCTCTGTAACAATAACACCGCCTGGCTGTTCTCCCTCCTTCTCCCTGGTTACATCGGGCCTCCCGAGCTCCACCCCGCCCCCAGTCCAGCGCCTTCCCTCCCGCTGCGTCCGCGTGTCCCTGCGCCGTCCGCGGCCGCCAGATGGAGAATTCCTTCTCGGCCGGAGAGCATGAGAACAGACCCTGCTGACCCGCCGCCTGTCTCAGATCCGGTCCTCACCCCTCACCCCGGCCTTGGCCCAGGCCCAGCGGGGCCCAGCGTGGGGGTGGTGCTGGGCTTCTGTGGAAATGATGGGCGTGCATGGTCCCTGGGCCACGAGAGATGCGCGCGAGCGAAAGTGGCGATGCCATCTCAACAGCCAACAAATCATTCATCCACTCCCCGAAATGTATTGGGCACGGCCATTCCTACCTAATCGGGCCATAAAGATAGCAGAACGTGGTTCCTGGCTGGGCCTGTGTGCAGAGGGTTAGAGCGAAGTGTGCAAGACTTCTGGGAGTCCACGGGGTGGGAGGAGTCATTCACACTGGGTGTGGTGGTGAAGAAGTCCAGGAGGGCTTCCTGAAGAAGGAAACATTGAGGCAGGGCTTTGAAGGCTGCTTAAGAGTTTGAGTGAAATGGGGAGTGTCTTAGTTATTCAGTGCTGCTATAACAGATATACCACAAGTAGATGGCTTTAACAGTGAAATTTATTGTCTCACAGTCAAGGAGGCTAGAAGTCTGAATTCAAGGTGCCAGCTCCAAGGGAAGGCTTTCTCTCTCTGTCTGCTCTGGGGGAAGGTCCTTGTCATCAATCTTTCCCTGGTTTAGGAGCTTCTCAGTGCAGGGACCCCGGGTCCAAAGGCCACTCTCTGCTCCTAGCACTACTTCTTGGTGGTATTAGGTCCCCCTGTCTCTCTGCTTGCTTCTCTCTTTTATATCTCAAAAGAGATGGGCTTAAAACACAACCTAATCTTGTAGATTGAGTCCTGCCTCATTAACATAACTGCCCCTAATCCCACTTCATTAACATCATAGAGGTAGGATTTACAACGCATAGGAAAATCCCATCAGATGACAAAATGGTGGACAATCACACAATACTGGGAATCATGGCCGAGCCAAGTTGACACACATTTTTGGGGGACACAATTCAATCCATAACAGGGACCAATATCTGAGGAGTCTGAACGTGTGGCAGGAGGGGTTGACATTGGGGCCAGACCAGGGGAGATAGCAAATACTGGCAGGGGCATCAACCACCCAGGATGAACAGCAGCCCCAGAGCTGGGTCAGGGATGCCCCTTATGAGGCCAGGGTCAATCCTTTAATGCTGGGGCCTAGGGAGGTCAGGACGGCCCCAAGGAAAGACTGAGACATCAGAAGTGAGTAGAGGCTATACAAAAAGCTGTAGAAGTGTTTCAGTATTTTAACAATGGGTCTGGTTGTACTGGTGGTCCCGGCTGTGTACATTCAGGAGGTGGATGGTCTCCGACGGCGGACGCACTTAGGGCTGGGGAAGGGCCAGAGCTGGGTCGTCTTCCCCAGGACCGAGCACATCTCCCATCTCACTTCTACTGACTGAAGTTGGGGTCCCTGACCCCTATCCCCACCCTGTGCCACCCGATGGCCCCGTCTGGATCAGGCACCATCCCAGGGGTCTGAGGTCCAGCCTAGTAGGAAGACAGGATGCCCCTGAAGAAGAGGATCATCTGGAGCGCCCGGGCCTGTCCAGCCCTCCAGGTGACCTCGCTGTCCCTGCTGACAGACCTCGCGAAGCCTTCCAGTGCCCCTTCCCTCTGCACAGGCTATGGGGGAGCTTCCTCAGGCTCCTGCAGCATCTCAGTACCTAGGTCCTGACTAACCAGAGCCCGGGGGAAGAGAGCCACACCCCTAGGGAGCTGTTTCTACTTCCCTCTCACAGAGTCTGTTCTTGGTTCCTCATCTTTCTGGGGGCGGTGTGGGGCAGTGCTCACAGCCCACGGTATGGAGTCAGCAGTAGATTTTTTTTTTTTTAGTTTCTTCTATCATTATTCATTAGTATTTTTTAATTTTATTTATTTTGCTGTTGTTATTGGAATACACGCAGCAAAACATAACCAATTCAGTTTCTCCATGTACAATTCAGTGACATTGATTACATCCTTTAAGTTATACAACCATTCCCACCCTCCTTCTCTGAGTTGTTCCTCCCCCATTCACATAAACTGACTGCTCCCTAAGGTTCCTATCTAATCTTACCACTTGCTGTTGTCAATTTGATTCCATATAGATAGCTCTTAACAGAGCAACGTGCTCAAGGCAGACATATTTTACTAGTTAAGCTAAACTGTTGTTTGGTTTTAAGAAGACTTCAGGGGATATTTTTGGTTTGAGATTTAAAGATTATCTCAGGGCAATAGTTTCAGAGGTTCAGCCAACTTTCATAGCCCCAGGAAGTCTGGAGTCCATGAGAATTTGAAATTCTGTTCTGCATTTTCCCCCTTTTGATCAGGATTCTTCTATGGAATCTTTGATCAAAATGTTCAGTAATGGTAGCCAGGCAACATCCAGTTCTGGTCTCATGGCAAGGAGGCAATTGTTCATGGAGACAATTAGCCACACATTCCATATCCTCCTATTCCTGACTCTCCTTCCTCTGTTGCTCCAGGAGAATAGAGACCAACTGTTGTGCCTTGGAAGCAGTAGGGGTTGAATCTTGGGTATGCCATATGTTGGGTCTCTCGGTAGTTTCCTCATCTGGAAAATGGGGGCTTCACAGATGAGGAAGCTGAGGCCTAGATTAGTGACATCACTTGCCCAAGGTCACACAGCTGGGAAGTGGTGGTGCTGGGCTTCAGTCCCAGGCATTGTATCTCCAGAGCCCGTCTACTTAACTCCTATACTACAGTGCCCTTATAAATCATACCGATAACTGTTATTACTCTTAACAGAAAGGAAGAGGTTGACTAATTCATACTAAGATGTTAGTGACTGCCCACAGCCCTCTGAGGTAGTCTCTTTAGAGGTCAGTGCAACTTAGATGGGAACCAGACCACAGCAGTACATCATGGTGGTTAAGAGCATGATCTCTGGCGTTAAACCGCCGGGATTCAAATGCCATCTGTCCTACCTCCTGGCCGTGTGGTCTTGACAAAGTCGCTTAACCTCACCTGTAAAACGATGATGATTCTATTCGTCCCTATCACCTAGGCTTGTTGGGAAGTTTCAATCACTTAATGTATGTACAGAACATAGAGTAGTGTTCATATAAACAATGAATATTGTTATCAGCTTAGCACTGTGGGGAGAGAGTGGACCGTCAGCTCCCACAGCTACCATCCCTGGCCAGCAAGATGCCGTTAGGAACATTGAATCACAGGCCCTTTAATATGAAAAAGCCCCAAAGAGCACAGCGTGCCTGACCCGCCACCCGGCTGTCCTCGCCCCTCCCTCCGCGTCTGTTTCCACTCAGCATCCAGATGATGCTTTTTCTTGCTCTCCCCTGTGTCTCCACCCACCCGTTCCCGCTTCCTCTTTTCTCTATACGTCATCACTTATATTGATTTCCAGTCTATTTCCCCCTTCTCTTGCTCACGAGGCAGCCCTTATGAAAAGCACCCTGCACCTTGCTTTTTCCATTTAACCATCTATTTTGGAGATCCTTCCTATCACCACCCTCGACGGGCTTCCCCTGGCACTCGGGATAAAAGCCAAAGTCCTCCCCTCCGCGCGCCCGTTCCCCCTTGCCTCATCCCTCGCCTCTGTCCCCTCCCCCACACTAGCCCCCGCCCTTCCTCGTACCCGCTTTCTCTGCCGGGAGCACCCTTCTCCCAGGTCCCCTCAGCCTCATCATTTAGATTTAATATCAGAGGCCACTTTGAACATCTTATCTAAGCAGCACCCCCAGTCACTCCTTGTTCTGCTACTCTGATTTATTTTCTCCATAGAATGTATTACACCCTGAAATGACCCATTATGGTCTTCTATTGTCTGTCTACACTCTCCCACCTGCAGAATATCAGCTCCTTGCCTGCCTGTTGTTTGTTGCCATCCCATTGATTCTGTCTGATGGCGAACCTGTGTGTGTGTAGAGTAGAATTGCTCCACAGGTTTTCAAAGCTGTGACCTTTAAGAAGCAGATCGCCAGGCCTGTCTTCCGAGGTGCCACTGGGTGGCTTTGAACCACTAGCGTTTCCACTAGTAGTCTAGTGCTTAACTGTTGGCACCACCCAGGGGCTCCTTGCCTGCCTCGGACATTACTGTAATTCCTAATGTCTAGAACAGAAGGAGCTCCGCTGGTGCAGTGGTTAAGCGCTCAGCTGCTAACCGAAATGTCAGTGCCCACCAGCTGCTCTGTGACTGAAAGATATGGCAGTCTGCTTCCATGAAGATTACAGCCTTGGACACAATATTGGGCATGACAGCACAGTTTGACTGAGGCAAGGCCATGGAAGCTTCATAGATACATCCAAACTCCCTGAGGGACCAAATTCCTGGGCTGAGGGCTGGAGACTATGGTCTCAGGGGACAACTAGCTCAACTGGAATAACATAATTTATAAAGAAAATGCTCTACATCCTACTTTGGTAATGCCTGGGGCTGTAAAACCAAACAAGGGAAAGATAAGTCCCAAGGACTAATGGGCCGCAAGTACCACGGCCTCTACCAGACTGAGTCCAGCACAACTCGGTGGTGCCCAGCTACCACCACTGACTGCTCTGACCGGGATCACAATACAGGGTCCCGGACAAAACTGGAGAAAAATCTAGAACAAAATTCTAACTCCGAATAACAACAACAACAGAAGACCAGACTTACTGGTCTGACAGAGACTGGAGAAACCCCAAGAGTATGGCCCCCTGGACACCCTTTTAGCTCAGTAATGAAGTCACTCCTGAGGTTCACCCTTCAGCCAGAGATTAGACAGGCCCATAAAATAAAATGAGACTAAATGGGCACACCAGCCCAGGGCAAGGATGAGAAGGCAGGAGGGGAC